AGTGGCCTCTAATCGCGATGTGTGCGACGAGCCTTAAAAATACTGGTCGCTATTCATCACCTTATTCGACAACAGTCGCATCAATAACAATTTTTTCAACACATATATTTGCAATCGAAATAGTACCGTTTATATGTGACACTTCCCACATTGTATTAAAAGCTATAATTGCCTGTCAGAAAATCTAAGCGATCAGGTTGATTTGTGAAGTTTCATATAGCTTCACGGACTTTCCAATGATCTCATTACTTACATAGTATTTATATATCTTAAGCTCTATGTAAGCTTTACTGCAACGGAATACGATACATTTTGGAAAATGTAGATATGTCTACTAATATTATAAATAGATAAATTTTGTGAGTTTAGATGCTCAGGGTAATCTCCGGTACTTCTAACTTCAAAGATTATTTTAATATTTAATATTTAGGTATCTGCAAAGAAAAATGTGAAGAAAAAGCGGGATTTTTTTTTGATATAGTGAAGAAGGTGAATGTGGGTTTTTTTTTCGGACTACTCTAATGCTGTTGGCCGCAGCTGGCCTTTACAGCTTCACCGGACGTTAGGGGGCGAGTGCAGATGGCACTCCAAACCCGCGGAAGGACTTATGGAGCGGCTGAATGTCAACTTCTGCCTGACGGATACGACTTTAGTCTGAGGGCACCACTGGGGTTCGAACCTCGGCGCAGGCCGTCGTAATTTCGATCCCCGATTGAATTGGACGGGGGGGATCGATCGGAGGGGGTGAATGTGTGTGTGGAAATATATGTATATGTACATATATGCTTGTAAAATTCATGTTTCATTTAGGTTTTTATGTCACTACCACGAAACTTTACGTCTCAAATAAATGTTAAAATTTCATTAACAAGAATTGCAGATTAAATCAACCATTATATTTATATTTTTATAGTCAATTGCCAGTTAGCCGATAAAAAGTAGCGGTAAGTATCTCAACGCGGAATGTTCTCGATTTTTCTTTTCCCAAATAATAAATACTCAATTTAAATATCACGGCCAATCATTCGTTTGTGGTCACTCGATCATATCTAATCTTTTAAGCCAATAGGAACGAATCCAAACAATCGGAATTGTGTTATTGTAAAAAATCGAGTCGAAGAGCGGATGTATCTATATTTCACAATTATACCGTTAAGACAGTTTCCTAAAATAAACTGCTGGTGTCACGAACTCCCGTGTGACCGCCGTGACCTTTCCGAGATTCCCCCTCTTTCATAGATAAGGAAATATTTCAATGTCATTTGACTGAAATCTGTTAGGTTCAACTGCACTGTTTATTGACCTATTTTTTATATAACAAACAAGCTGACTGTCCGCCTGATGGTAGGTGGTAACCGTCGCCTATATATGATCAGGAACCAGGACTGTCATTATTTTTTGCACTTGATACTACCTTTGCCATTCCAAAGGACTAAGACGTTTCCGTATCATTTTTACTCTATTATCATTACAATTACACTCAATTCTCCCTAATTTATTTAAAAAAATAATCTGTATTTTTGTAGACATGTACATTTGAAAAGATTAAGAGCTGAGGTTCTTGTCAGTTCCTCTTAGCTAGCTTAAAGCATTCCGAACTGATGGTAAATTTGACGTACTATAAGAGTCTGTATTAGATCTACATTAATATACATATTTGAATTTAAAAATTAATCTGTAGTACTGTAAACATATATGTAGGGTAAGGTTGCTCAAGTCGTACCATGGCCTAAATCGTACCCTGGCAATATTTCGTCTGATACATATAAATTGCAACATCTGATGTCGTTTACCTGAACTATTTAGTCGAGCGAACAAACGCAAACAAGTGGATCGCTGGGCGGCTTCGTGAAGCAAAAATAATTAAATATTAAGTTTTTATAACACTTTTCATTAAAATTTTTGACTCCTTTCTAAGCTTTTTAAGGCAGGAACATGATACCTAATTTTTTTCTTTGTTAAAATCTATTTGTAATACTTATCTGACAATCGTTTAGGCATACACAAAGAGTAGAAGTTTTATAGGTTATGTTAGTGATTTTAGTTTTAAAGTTAGGCTATCCCGCCGCTTAAGTCGTACCTGTGCAAGTTTCCTTACTCGTACCGGTACAACTTAGGTATTAAGAAAATTGTTTGTTCATTTTTGTAATTTACTTTACTTTTTATTAGGTAATAAAGTTCAGTTGAATCACCAAGTTCTTGATTTGATGGATGGATGGATAATCCATCTATGAAATCAAGAACTTGGCGATTCAACTGAACCAACTAGGGAATCACCCGCTAGAGTCACATCGCCATCGATTTTAACATTATCAATAGTTGCATCGCCTCTAATAATGGCTGTATCTCCACCAATCTTTTCATCACCAAAAATTACAACGCCACCTTTAGCAACTAGAGACCATCAACACCGCCCAACATTCAATCGGAACCTTCTACAATATCACAAGATACTTCACACAATGACGATAATTTAACAGTAGATAAAATTATCAATAATCCACAAATAAAGTCTCCCTTGAATATTTTATCTCGTATACCTTGCATAAAAACAGTCATTAAAGAAAGGTACTAAGCCAACAATGAAATTAATTTCAAGTCCCTATAAAAATGAAATCGAAGAAAAGTAAAACATAATTAAGAGGAAGATATACACAATTAATTTTTTTCATATCTAGTACAGGTTGTACTAGATATGAAAAAAATTAAAATAGAAAAACGAATAAATAAAAGTATAAAAGGAAGAAATACTAATGAAACATGCAAGAAAAACAAAAATAAAAGCTAAAGAAACGTGGTTATTCAAACTATATAGGGAAGATCGAGAAGAAAACATGATCCAGTGATTAAAATGTAAAGGTTGGATACATGATCTATATATGCAGGCGTTGAAAGTAAAGTAAAGAAATATATTTGTGATATCTGTGTCCAATCTCAATAATTATCTAAGCATTACTTTTTTTTCAAGATGTTACCTATAATTTTATTTTCTATGTGTTATTTACTTAGTAATAAGTTTTGATTTTTTAACAATAAGCGTTTTAAGTTGATTTCAGACAGAATTGTTTCTATTTTTTTAGTTTTTCATATGATCTCATGATATTAAGCATTTTTCTATAGAGTTCATTGAAGTTTATTTTCTAAGTACGACTAAGGCTATAGGTGTTACGAATTAGGCGACTATGCGCTTTAATCGTACCGAAGGTATATTTTTCAAAAACGTTAAAATACCTACTTTGTGAAAAAAATTCCAAGTTTCTGTGATTGTTGACGAAAAGCCAAATAAATAAAGATGTACCAAATGCATAATATTTTGCTTTATTTCAATTGCAGTGAATATTATAGTATTATTTCCTTAGGGGGTACGACATAAGCAACCTTACCCTATAATATTAATTTGAAAAGAATACAACCAGAGTTTCTTGTCAGTTCTTCTCATCTCGAAATCAATTTGAACTGACGGTAGATTTGACATATCATAAGTGTCTGTAATAGACGTACATGAATAAAAATATTTTGAATTTGAATAAATATTTTAATTTGAGATTTTTGACCTGACACTTCTCACCTACTTAAACGAAACAGCTTACAAAGTAAGCTATTTGGAGGTCGAATAAAAATAGACTACTACGTATGAAGTCAACTTAAAATGAAGGTTTTAATTTAACCTTTTTTTTAAATATAGAGAACAGACGTTCTATGTATTTATATCACTGATTAACTCTCCGGTAATAGTAAATTGATCGTAAGCATATTATTTTTCTAATAAATCGATAATTTTTATACAATATGGCCGTAAATTGTTAGAAGTTACAATAACCACTATGAAATCACAATTTGCGTCACCAAATAAAAATAAACTCAGTAATATCACAGATAAAATAATATGTAATATGTACGTGAATTTCGTTATTTAATATTTGCATAATTCCATGAATAGGTATTATGCTATTATGCAACGTGGCTGCAATACAAGCAGGGGCCTGTGGCTCTGCGGTGAATATCTGGGCCACTGCAGGGCTGTCCTACATTCCTTTATTGTTTTGTTTTTCAGCTACATGGAACCAAGTTGTAAAGTAGGCTCGTATCAACTTAAGTTGAATTTTTTGCTTCATCATCGTTTTCTATGTAATATAATCTAATTAAGAAAATGGAGGTCGTATTTTTTTTTTAACTATGAATTCAACGATGATTGCCTTATTTCAAGATGGTACGAGTAGAGGGTTCGATACTCTGCATAATAGTCTGATGGTTGTTTTGTATATGTTATGCATATATTTAAAAAATGTATTTAATTATTGTTGCTTAGTTGGAGACTAGATGGCGCTGTGTGAATTATTCTGAGTTATTATTATTAATTATGCATATACAAATATACTTAAGTATTAACATTTAAATAAATAAATAACAATACAGTGTTCTGTTTATATTCCAAGAACTATAGAAAAAATGTCACGCAACAAATAGGTAAGTATTCATATGTTCTAAAAATGTCACTCCGCTGCTTGCTGCCGCAAGAAACTGGTAGTTTTGGCAATTACGTGTTAATTAACGTTGCTTACCATATAATTATAATTCTGTATCTCAAATTAGAGGTTTATCTTTAACCCCATTGCGTATTATTTTGTTTATTAGTTTGAAAGCTTTCAAGATTCAGATGAATTGAAAACTTTAAGAGTTTAGTTAAAAATCTTAAAACGTTTACAATACAATCGAATCGTAGTATAAATAATCTCACTTTAATGTCAATATCTTTTTGTAACAAAATCTCTTAAAATCACAAATAATTGAAAATTCGGATTGGATATACATTGTAATTTTTACACTAATATGTAGTTGCTAAAGTAGCGTCAATCCTAATGCAATTCTATTTATTCAAAACGCAATATGGAATCAATGTTTCGAACCAAAATTGCAATATGTCACCAACGCAATACCAATGTATCAAAATTGATATCAGAAGTAACCATACTAAATGTAATAAACCAATATCAACTTACCGCCACATATGACGTCAGCTAAATTAGTTTGCACACACTGATGCGTCACGGCGCCGTCTCGGACCGTCGTGATCTCTCCGTACAGCTGATGCAGGGCTTCCTGGTCGGACATGAGGATAGTCCGAGGAGACGGACACTCCTCCTCATGATTGTTGCCACGGCGGCGGGAAGATGATCTTGATCGGGAACGGCGGCGTCTGGCATTGAAACAAGGGTATTTAGTTTGATATTAACAAATTTTGAATCAATTAGATGATAGTCAACTGTCTACCCTACAATAGATCCCACGACCAATTCAACGGGGATCTAAGTGACTATGAAACGAGAGTATTTAATTTTGTATTAAAAGGTTTTCGATTACTCATACGATGGACTGTCGCTCCTCCGACCAATCGCAGTCCAATTGAAACGGGTATCGAAATTACAGCCAACCCCTAGCGGTGCCCTCAAACTAAAGTCGTATTTGTCAGGCAGGAGCTGGCCTTCAGCCACTTCGTAAGTCTACCCGTGGGTGAATCTTTAAATATCACCTGCTGTCAACATCAACTTTTGATGAACTTTTTGTTCATAACCGACAAAAAATCAAGCGTTGAATTAATGTGTGCGTTGTATACCGAAGAATAGATTTTCATACCACTAGTTTTAGTAAAAGGATTATCACTTACTATCGGTTGCAAGTTTGTCTGGCTTTTTGGGATAAAAGATAGCTTATATCTTGTTATCAATTTTCATTCAGATGAATGCGAGAGTGTGTATATATATATTTTTTCTTTCACGACTAAACAAGTGAACTATAAATATGGTTAATTGATGAAAATTTATTAAGGGAATAAGTTGAAGATGTAACTATATAAAATTTACCTAATATTATTGTAATGATTTGTTTCTTACTGATATTATAAAGCACAATTTGTTTAGTTATATTTGGCAACGAACCACTAAATCAATTAATATTATTACTATACTATATTTAAAAACATTATAACATATATTACGTTTTATCCCGATCATTCAGTATGTAGTAATCTACAGCTAGTACGGAAAGATACTATTTATGATTATAAAATAAAATAAAAGTTACGTTATTCAAATAAATTTACCTAGCTGTCTGCATTTTTCTAGAATTATATGGCTATAAAAGCGAGTCCCGTTATTTAATAAAATGTATAAAAGCAAATAAATTTCATGCACATTTTATATCTGCTAAAAACAATAATAAATATTCTATAATATAAAAAAGTATAATGGCATACGTCTAGAATTCCATATTTAAATTTTGATCAAATTCTCACTAAAAACTTATGTATAATTTAATATAATGACCATAAATAATCAACGAGTTTTCAAACTGACGCATTTTTTCATCGTTAACAATTTTTTGCAATTTATTTCACATCTTAGACGCCGCTCTTTCTGATTGTATAATAATATGATACTTTATTTCATCGAATTAGAGTTGATTTTAGGTCTGCTTTATTCCAATTTCGTTCCAATAACCGGATCTTAGTCGACACGATGGCATCAGCACTTTTTTTAATACTGCCCGTCGCTCATTAAGAGAACGTGAGGTTTTTGCTTCTACGAGTATATTCATTATATGGGAATCAAACCACATCGATATGATTCAGTGATTTGACCAATTCAATTAACAACATAAGGTCGAAGTATAAATATAATTTTTATTTATTACATCAGATGTACCTTAATCGATCTCGTGACGTACATGACGTAAGATATGTAATTCTGTTTTATTTTATTTATTTGTTTACGCTATTATACAGGAGTTAGTAATGTAATTGTATACATATATATTAATATATAAGTTAAGAAGTATCTAAATATATAGTGCTACCCGTATCCCAACTCATTACGTGGTTTGAAAGCCGAAATCGAAGAAACATAGAGATGAGAACAACTTATTACTATTCAGAAAATACCGAGAACATCTTAGAAATAATGAGATATAATTGTAAAATAAATTTCGCAATTTCGCCCACACTAATTATAGTGTTTAAAAGTAAATGGATGAAAAATGAGTTTTGGAGTTAGTGGAATTTGGGAGGATAAGATAAGCGTGTCAAGTGCACCTACATGCCATTAAAACACCTACTATAATACACGATAATTATTGCAACCCAACACGCTATATCAATAAATTAAAACCAATGCACAATGATTTGTTTACTCAATATTAATAAATTATGCTGCAGAATAATTTCTTTAATGATAAGTATTGCGGTAATTGAAAACAAAGTTACATACATTGTCATTAATTATAATATGTATATTTACTTAAAAGTGGAAAAGTTTTTGAAAGTTAAGTAATGTTTACGTTTCAATCGTAGTGATTTTACTAAATATGAATATTTTAAGCGACTTGAAGAAGTGTTTGATAGTATTTTTCATTTTATGTCTCGCGAGATTTTTATAAATAGTGTTTTTTGTAATTTACACACTTTACTTATATGTAACTGTTATTAGTATTATATTATTGTATTGTCTTTATTAGTCATACTAACTGTTATTAGGTAAAATAATAAATTACGGAGATATGAACAAAAATTTACATCCCGCGATTTTATTTTCAACACGCTTATATATATTTTATATTCGTGGGTGTTATACTAAAAGAAATAATACGATGTAAATTCGCAGTTTCGCAGCGATTTTAATATTTATTATATATTAGCTGTATCCGCGACTTCGTCCGCGTGGAATTTAACTTTATTTTTCTAAAATAAAGGTAGCCTAAGTTACTTCTTATTACATCAGTTACCTGCCAATAAAAGTCCTGTCAAAATCGGTCCAGCCGTAAAATTGTAAAAATGTTATTTTGGTGTAGGTATGTACCGTATTTATATTCATATGCATGTAGTAAAAAACGGTTATTTCAGTATTACAAACAGACACTCCAATTTTATTTATATGTATAGATAGGTATTAATAGACACTGTGTATTAATTGTATGTATGTTTTGCATAAGTCCCAATTTCTTTGGTTATTCCAAATCTTATATATTAATTACATTGAATAACAAACCACTGATAAAGACGTACAGACGTGTTACAACGTCAATTATTCACACGTATTCTTGAAACCAAATCGATGCCGCCATTTTGAATAAACGCGCGCAATGTCAAGTTTAGCGCCAAAAATGGAGGGTTTACTCATCAGAATGCTGGGTGCGTACACGTTTGCACAACATGTCCAAAGAGTCAGCATACGGCGACATCTTGAAATGGTACTATGAATCATGCAGCTAAAGATTTCATACATATGGAACGCGTGATGTGTGAACCGACTTCTTGACTTGAAATAATCTTGCACTTTTGATTATATTATGTTAGAAGGCTTACAGCTGTAATGTAACTTAATTCTGCGTGTGGACGGCATTACAAACACATTTCAACGGCTCATTTTCGAAGGATTTTATATCAAGTACAAATAATCATAATCAACTGCTTCTTCCATTCATCTCTATTCGCAGTCATCTCGTTATTGTGATGATACAAATAATCATCAATGTGCTAAATATGCAATAAATATAGGGATAATTATTATATACTCCACTATATATTATTAGCGCAACCGCATTGTCAATAAGAGAGCCTAACTAAATCAAATTCAATAAAAAAACATGCGGTAATAATTCGCGGCTTATGCATCGGATGTGGGTATTAACGCCAACGGTAGATGGATAGTCGCATCTGGTAGGATGCAGTGCATTATTTCATCATGCCGCAAGCATATGCCTACCGTTTCGATCGGAAATCGGTGCAGAACTCGTGAACTCATTACTATGGAGAATTGATCTTAGAAGTCGGCTAAGAAAGGTAACTTACTCAGGTGTGACTATGAAGAAACCTCTCGATGTCTGATATATCTTCCTCTCTTGCATCAGCTGCGCCAACGTGTCATAAACGACCTCTTGCGATGGTGTTTGCATCGACGGGAACTTAGCTGACAGTGATGTTCGTATACTTTCTAACGTCGCCGATTGACCCTGAGAAATGAAAAAGGAAGTTGTAAATATGTCATCCGACTTGTTTATCATATGGACATATTTTTTTAGTATTTTATTAGAATGACAACATTACGCTACTTTCTTGAAACAAAAAATGTACCAGTTATAACCAGTATTCATTTAGTTCAATTTACTCTTTATCGAGATGGATACGATCGTGTTAGAACCAATATTTTTCCAATTGACTTTTTTTAGCTACGAACTTTATATATCTTGATAAAAAATGCGTGTGGACTCCATCGATACAAATGGGACCTTTAGATCTTTTAGATCATCAATTGTACACGTTATATGTATGGAATATTTACTATGAAAATATTCTTTAAGAATTCACATTATTTTTACATAAACGTACTGTTCGCGGGTGGACTGGAGATGGCGATGGATGGAAACAACGATTAGAAGTAGACAAGTTTGTCTACCAACTTTCTTGGAAATTTATACTCCGACAAATACAGTTACTTCGACCTTTTGGAGTGTATTTTGTGTAAATTTATTTTAAGAATATCTACTACTGGACTGGAGAAATTTTTAAATCGAAGAATTTTATTTTCGTCTTTCACCATTTTTAGAGTTATTTATCGGGTTCCGTAGACAATATTTTTGTCTTTTGTGAACTACAGGGTACGAAAGCATGGCACTCCCGTCCTCCGGAATAGGAACATTTTTTTTACACAAGTTTAATACAAATAATACTATACATCAAGCTCTAAAACTGCTTGCACAGTAAGTTTGTAGCAAAAACGCTTAACATATACATATAGTTATATATATGAAGTTATCCGTTACGCAATGCAATTCGAGAGGACAGATATTACAATGTGATAGGTACTGTTTATATGTCGTAGTACTATTTGTGTATATAGGCGACGGTTACTACATACTATCAGGTAGAACGTCGGCTTGTTTGCAAAAACAGTTCCATAAAAAAGTACCGTCGAATTCTGAGTATTTAATTTTAGGCGTCTGTTAGAAATTGTTTATCAGATTAAGATTTCTCACAGATATTGATGTCATACGTATAAAAAAGTTGTTTCTAAATCATAAAAATGATAGGAATCATCACGCCTTACTACTGTCAAAGCGGAACACAAAAACTTGATTTGTATGTAACATTGACAGTGCTAGAACCAAAATAGATGTGAACAAAAGGCCGATTCCTATCTCAGAACCTTGAAATGTTCAACCCATATATATACAAAGCTCAGTGAACTATGCCACTATCATCAATCAAAGAAATCTAGATTTATAGACGATGTCTTCATCCGAATTTGTTGCGATCTCGACCTTTTGCACTATTGAAAATTTGACATTGAATTTGGGCGAGATTGGTATCACATCACATATTTCACAATACCTGCCTACACATACATAGAGAATGGAGAATAAATTTTGGTATTAGTCTTCGCTTTTGTGCCAAAACTCATTAGTAGGAAAGGCATTGAGAGATTGATAAGTTTTTATTATAACTGCATTGTTTGAAGTATCCATTCAATTGAATTGCCAAATCTTAATGACTACTTGCTGATCACTATGTTAATTATACACTTGATTATAGAAAGGTAAATCTTTTTAATGGTAGAATAATTATTTACACATCTTGGTGTATACAAAATATATATCAATGAAATGGTCTCAAACACTTGAATATCACATACTGATTTGAGGACTCTAAGTTAATCTGGAGATTGGAATTTAACGCCATTTATACATCTTTTTCAATACTTAAGGGGTAATAAATTAATTGCTTATATATTGTTATATACTGCTGGTGCGATGCCCCTAGTTTTGCACAATTACTGTAGAAATCATTAATTCCATTGGAAATAAATACAGCTCATATTACTTTTTAATACTGTATCATTTTATACTTAGTGTATATTGTATTTAAATTGATTACATATTTCTTGTATTTATTAATACTTCACCATAGGATTGGTTCACATCATTCACTACAGACACTTATAAATAGTAATATAACTCTGGACAATTTACACAGCATCATTCTGCTTAGCAGAGCCTGTGTTATACATACTAGACAACTAATAGAAATACATTTCTTTTTAAATCATATACATAGAAAAAACCGCTAAAACGAGAAGCGCTCATACTCATGAATACAAATGTATGCATTGTACAATCAAGTATTTTGCCAGACCACCCTGGTCGTCTTAGATTTATAAAATGCGCTGTTGAGTTAATAAATAAAATTTATTTGCTACCTAAGTTCATTGTAATGCGTATTAACCAAAACAAGTTTGAAATCAAAGTCAAGATACTACTTATATGACATTCAGTGAGTGATTATATGCTGATAGCCAGTGCCTTATGGTACAATTTCAATTATCACATCGATATGTATCTACAGATTAATTTGCAACATTTCAACGACCTTCAGGGTAAATAGTATGACCACATATTGAGCAGGTGTTGCGAAATTAATACATTGAATATGTAAACATGAGAGACACAATGAAATTTCATTTGTAACCAGAGCGGTTGGTAAAAAAAATAGTACCTCAGGACAACTCTATACAATGGTGGTGTATAACCACCATTTAGTCCCAAGCTAAGCAGAACTTGTGTTATGGGTACTAGATAATGCATGGATATTTTTTTGTAAATGTATAATATAAATATAAAATATTCAGACCGATACAAATAATTAAACTCATGAATACAAATGTTTGTACCCTGTGAGAAATGGAACCTGCGACTATCGGAACAAAACTAGACCTGTGTGTAGAGGCTGTAAAAAAGCTTTAAATTAAAAATTTGGATCTACTAAATTAAATTAGTAATTAAAAGGAATTATTGGGTAATTGCCCAAAGATAGAGAAGATGTAAAGGATTTATTTTTAAAAGAAATAGACGTAATAGGTCTCTCACTTTATAAGCCACAGTAAAACATATAACAAATATGAATATCTCTATGCTTAATATCTCTATGATACAACCAGATACAAAAAGCTTTCCTTCGAATAGATAGTCAAGGATGGCATAAACCAAATTCTTCTATTATTTATTTAATATGTAATTCATGATTTGCAACAAAGATTGCTATCGAATCGACATAGAATACTATCAATCATTGAATAATATCAAAACAAGTACTTGAGTTTGCTGGAGGGCTTGGGAAACCAGTTGTGGTTTACTGGAACTAACCACATTGCGAATGGTAGTCACTCGATTGCAATAATTAATTCAAAACTTATGAGAGCAGCTTTTCTATTATCTATGTCGCAAGATTTTTTTATATACTTTCCAGGAAGTGGGTGTAGAAAATATAAGTTCAATGCCTTATCCATAATAATAATTATATAATTATTATTAAATAGCAGTTATCCTTCTAATTAATGAAGTCGAGGCTTTATAAATTGGAAATGACTTCGGACATCGTTTCTTTGAGACTTGTAAGGAACTTTGTTGCAAATCGACTTGCTCAGGGCAATACAACCGTCAATTTTTTTTATAGCCATTTTATAGAACAATTAACATAACGCTCGAAGACCTCGGTAGAGTCTCACAAGGAGTAGGTCTTAAAATGAACATGGACAACGAAAACGATGTCAAACGTCCATGTCGTACCTGCTCCCGTAAAAATCGGTGATTCTACACTCAAAATTGTCGATCACTACGTATACTTAGGGCAAACTATCCAGCTAGGTAGATCCAATTTCGAGAAAGAGGTCAGTGGTTGAATGCAACTCGGATGGGCAGCATTCGGGAAGTTCCGATATATCTTTTCGTCCAAATTTTCGCAGTGTCTCAAGACGAAGGTCTACGACCAATGTGTGTTGCCAGTGATGACTTACGGTACAGAGACGTGGTCGCTAACTATGGGCCCCATGAACAAGCTCAGAGTCACTCAGAGGGCAATGGAGAGGGTTATGCTCGGAGTTACTCTGAGTGATGGAATCAAAAATTAGGAGATCCACGATAATTGCCCGAAGAATTGCGACTCTGAAGTGGCAATGGGCAGGGCACATAGCTCGTAGGACAGATGGCCGTTGGGGCAGTAAAGTCCTCGAGTGGCGACCACGGACCGAAAGACGCAGCGTGGGAAGGCCTCCAGCAAGGTGGACCGACGATCTGGTCAAGATCGCTGGAAGGCATTGGATTGGCAGCGCAGGACCGATCGTCGTGGAGATCTTTGGGGAGGCCTATGTCCAGCAGTGGACGTCTTCCGGGCTGCGATGATGAACATAACGCCATCTAGTCCCATGGTAAGCAGAGCTTGTGTTATGGGTACTAGACATCTGATATAAATACTTAGATATATATTTTTTTAAATACATACATAATATATATACAAAACACTCAGACCGATACAAACAGACCATACTAATGAAAACAAATGTTTGTACCGTGCGAGGAATCGAACCCGCGACCATCGGAACTAAAGCGGTGTGCTAAACCGCTAGACCACATAGGCCGTCAATTTAAGCGACATACCTTAAATGTATTCAGAGTATGTACATAGGGACGTATTGCTCAAATATTATGAACATACAAGGCGCATGTAATACTTATGCAAATAAATCTGTTTAAAAGTCCGGCCCACTTCTGATATTTAGGTGGACCTGTAGTACAGCATTCTCTAGTACTTACAGCACGCTTGCACAATACTTGCACCATTGACAAATTATCAGGGCAACCAACTTGATTGTTTTCAATGAATTAATCGATAGATCATTCGGATTAATTACACGCCGATTGGGTGAAGTAACAATGACTGATTATTTACGATGAGACTATCGATGAATGAATCGGTTAATATTTAATGTTGTACTTGACCGTGACACAAGTAAATTGGGAAATGTGTTTTCTTATATATAGATATAAATATAAATTTATAATATATAAACTTAAATAGTTATCATAAGATCTTCTTTACTTATTTTATTTGCTTTATTGAAAATACAAAAGTACAAACCGTGGACTTAATACTAAACCATTCTCTACCAGTAAACCTATAAGAAGTGCAAATATACACAATCTCTGATTGAAGAGATTATGTCAAAGGAAACATCAAAGATGTGGATTAATATATCTTGCTACTGCATGTAAATACAAACTATACTTCATGTAAACTATAGAGTTTTGGTAGTCTGTTGTTATAAGTGCCTAGTTCGATTCCGATTGACGACGTCGACTGTTAAATTCATGTTACCTCAAATTTGTAAAACAACGTTAAGAGTGGTCAAAAGCCACTATATGAAAAGGTCAGTTAAGGCACCTAACTCTTCCGGGCTGCGATGATGATGATGATGAGAATGCTATCGTAATCTTCTTATTCGGTAAGAACATTGTAGTAAAATGTTTATTAAAGAGATATTAATACACACTTGACCGCAGTTGGTTTAACAGTGTGGTGATTAAAACTATGATCTCACAGTTCAGGTATTCAAGAATGTTTCGGAAAAAAGACGAGTATCAAGAATTTCTCAGGTTATCTGTGCGACTTAAGTTACAGACTTCAGCGGATACAAAAATGCGTGCTGTGAATAAAGTACTGCGATTTTCATAGACTATTAATTTTAAAAATGGTCTTGTAAATTATCCTTAGTAATTCTACAATAGTATTATCGGATTGCATTCTCGACCTGCGAAATTGTTAAGTTGATCTCTCGGTATAAGTCGTACCGACTTGATATCGAATGCTCTAAAACAGAAATCTGGATGAGGTAAGGTTCGATGGCGGAAACCATTCTATTTGTTATTAGATTCAAGGGCTATATTGTTTAATTATTACCCATATAATTAAAATCTAATACATGAGGGTTCTATCTATGCTAATTAAGGAAAGAGTAAGTAAGTTTTTATATTACCATAGATAACATGTTTGTGTGCGTTTAAGTTAGTATTTATATGTAACTTTTTATCTATTCTATATCTCAAAATAAATAAATTACCCGGTATATAATACAGCGTTATCCGGTGCCAAATTTTGTACTACAGATACAAAACAGCTGACTTATATATTTAAGTGGATATAAATACAAAAAATATTACTATTATATTTAGAGTCGAACAATTCACACCCTGGCAAAAAGACCCTAAGTAAATAACTGTAACTAAACAAGAAATATCTTACTTAAAATCTCGCAAGTGACGGTTATCATTATGTTTTCTAATTTCTAATGATATTCTAATTCATTTCGCATCATTTTATGAATAAAAAACAGTAAATAATGAATGACAGTTAATTTCTTTAACTCGTATGTTGAAAAGAATATATCTTGGACCATAAATCGTGAAATATCAGAGAAACAGGTTCGCACATTCCAAACCAGTACAATGTTTATTCTTTTTTGCATTTCACGGCCAAGAGTCATCTTTCAAGTATTAGGATTATTTTGGGCGCAGCAAAAAGTTATATGCAAATTCTTTGAGGTATTTTCGTATTGAATTATATAGGCAACACTAATTTATTATTATGCTTACTACTTACTTCCTATTTCATGGATTTATTAGTTCCTATTAATATGAGATATAATTTTCAGAATATACTGCGAATTCAACTGAAACCGAAAAATATTCTTATTACATATACGCACCGTACTAAGCACCAGAAAATGTCCTATACGAATGAATGTTATAAATTTGAACGTCTTTCATTTTACTAATATAGCTATAATAATAATAATAATAATGTCAGGACAATTCACACAGTGCCATCTAAATTTGAAAGCTTGTCTTATGGGTAACTTAACTGATTACAGATATTATTTTTCTAATATATTATACATAGAAAACTATATATAATAATAAATTATATATAATATTTTAATATTTATTTATTTTATTTTTATTTATTTAACTTTAATGCACACAATATGATATATAGTATAGTACATTTGGCGGACTTAACACCATGCGGCATTTTCTACCAGTCAACCATAGGTGGTGCAGAGAATAATTGTTGGCGGTGCAAAATTATAAACATAAACAAAATGCAACAAAAATAAAAGTAAAGGAAATTAGAAATAATATATCTTTCTAATTTCCTTTACTTTTACTTTTTATAGCAATTTGTCCTAATATTGAAATATTACCAAGATATTTTATGCTTAGGTATTTTATTTTCATGTCCGATGCGACTTTGGCCTTATAAACTACAGTCAAATGTCTCCAGTGTTCATTCTACTGATATTAATTATAATTAGAATAATATCTATATACGTACCGACCATATTATGTTTAAATTTATTTAGCTGTTTAAACGTACTTAAGTAACAAACATCCAAATACATTTCCGACTGTTATCTTCAGTTTATTATGATTTTTCCACATATCAATAACCTTCTCTCTAGAAATTATACACATTAATATGCAAATCAATACTCTACTAATTTGTAACAAGCCCTTAACGTTTATTTTAATATGCTACTCCGAGATTAATTACTGCAATTTATATAAATTGATCACGTTATAACCATAAATGGTTAACTAACGTAAAAGTTAAAATCTTGTTTTTATGCAATTTCTCTTAATTTGTATAACTAGTGTTGCAACGTTACTTTAGAAATAAAGTAATTATTTTAGTAACAGTAATACAATTAAAGTTATCCTTATTGATATAATAAATATGAAGGTAAGTTTGTTCGTTAAGACTTGATGCAACTTAACCAGTCGTCTTGAATGGAGAATTAACGTAATGTGTGGAGTGGAAGGTGACTGTTAGTAATGTGGACTAATAACCCCATTGCTTGACTACTATGTTCGTTTGACCTCCACGTAGTTTCCCCTGGAAACCGTCGTGGTAAATTGCCATTTGCCAAAATAGGTTATCTGACTTGACCTCATGCTCATCTTATCATCCATACCACTAGTGCCCCGTCAGCAAAAATCGTTAGCGTAGCCAGGCAGTGCACTATTTCATTATCATCAATAAAAAATGTTTACCGTAGACTATGAAAGCTTGAGACACCAGGTGTATCACGTGCGCGTGCACCTTAAGAAACCTTAATATACGATTCTTGAAAGATAAATAATCTTTAAAATTATTATATTTTGAATACCAACAATTTTTATTGACTCGCTCATGCGTATGACTAACAGTATCACCCAAAATTGTTTCCAAAGTTTCTCATACAAAAAAAACGAAACTAGCGCAGTCGTGATTTGGGAGTTAAGGAAAATACCGATTTACTTATTTATCAAAAACATAACGCTTAGCATCATCACGACCTTATTGGTAGAGCACACCGGTTCCTATAAATGTTTGGAGTTTGCACTCATTATTTGCGACTAAGGTTACCAGATTTTAGCTATGGATTTCTGGGATAAAAAGACCCATTATTTTACAAACTTTTAAGATTCTTATACTGGAATTGGTCGGCAGAGACATTCTCATCGAGGTTGTGACGATCTCTTCACCATATCCAAAAATTCGATACTATACTTCTGTATAGTTCATCTTTTTCTGGGTTGTAGTATATATATTTTTTTAATTTGAATGCACTGATTTTAATATTATTGGCCTGTATATACAATACTATACAATTAGGAACAACTGTCATCAATTATATAACTGATATTAGTAATACACGCACCTAAAGACAAAAAAAAAATTTCGGAACCCTCCCCGGGTTTCGAAATTAGTTTTTTTTTGTCTATTATACTTTTATTTTTGCTTTAAATTCCGGAAGATTCCTGTTTTTCGTGAGATGTGGAAACCCTATTTGAAACATTACTGAAATGCCAATGACAAGCATATTTCTTCTACAATTCAAACATAGCAACGAAATACAGTTAGTTAGTTACCTATGAATTTTACGTATTTTTCAACTGAGTGAAAGTAAGCTCGTTAAGAAAATTCGAGTAGGTATCTCTACAAATCAATTGTAACTCGGCCTGATTCACAAATGTATTGTTTGTAGAATACAGTTGGCGTATTTGGACCAAATACGCGAAGCACTGTGTACCATTAATACTAACTTATACTAAGTACGTGTAACACTAATTCAAATAAGAATAAAGCTGAAGATACCATCCATATCTATATTGACGACCTCGGTGGTCTAGTGGTTCAACATACCACCTTGCTACCGATGGTCGCGGGTTCGAATACTCGGACGTTACAAACATTTGTATTTATGAGTAGGATATAGTGATAAGATCGTTGTCTGTATTGTTATAACCATTTAACATTGTTAATGTACGGTTTTTTCATTCATATCATAATTATGTATGCTAAGTTTAAAATTATTGTATCTGTTATTATATTATATCAAAATGTTCTTGGACATTTTGATATAAATTATTTATAGATAAATTACATTTTCGATATATAGATATTTAACTAATTAATAATTGTGAAAACTACTTTAATTACCTGTGTCGTAAGGTCCATAATGCAGTCGCATAATGCCTCGGGTAGTGGTGTGAATTGTCCTTGATATGCAGGCGTTACTATGCAATCTTCGATGTCACCTGCGAACAAAAATATATTTACATTAAACGCTGAATGAACCAAACCAAACAATGAACATATTGGATCGATTCTTAAACCACATTTAGGTACATGTTTCTAATTTTACTGGAATGTTAGGCAATATTGGATTATCGATTCTTAAACCTCATTTAAGAAAACTTTTTGTTTCAATTTTTTACTGGAATAGCAAACAAACTGACGGCCTACCTGATGGTGTGTAACAACATGCTGTAATAATGTTCAGCCGTGATAAACAGTATCACGGCTAAATATAACGATGAAATTAAAGTGGTGTGCTAAATCACTAAACATCATTATATCAAAAACCTCATGCTGTAGTCTCGAGCGGAAACCTGCATGAATGACCTGTTCTACAGTTAATTTATATTTCTATTACATGATCATCATCATCGCAGCCCGGAAGACGTCCACTGCTGGATATAGGCCTCCCCCCAAAGATCTCTACGACGATCGGTCCTGCGCTGCTCGCATCCAATGCCTTCCCGCGATCTTGACCAGATCGTCGGTCCACCTTGCTGGAGGCCTTCCCACGCTGCGTCTTCCGGTCCGTGGTCGCCACTCGAGGACTTTACTGCCCCAACGGCCATCTGTCCTACGAGCTATGTGCCCTGCCCATTGCCACTTCAAAGTCGCAATTCTTCGGGCTATGTCGGTCACTCTGGTTCTTCTGCGGATCTCCTCATTTCTGATTCGATCACGCAGAGAAACTCCGAGCATAGCCCTCTCCATTGCCCTCTGAGTGACTCTGAGCTTATTGATGGGGCCCATAGTTAGCGACCACGTCTCTGTTCCGTAAGTCATCACTGGCAACACACATTGGTCGTAAACCTTCGTCTTGAGACACTGCGGAAATTTGGACGAAAAGATATATCGGAGCTTCCCGAACGCTGCCCATCCGAGTTGGATTCGACGATTGACCTCTTTCTCGAAATTGGATCTACCTAGCTGGATAGTTTGCCCTAAGTATACGTAGTGATCGACAATTTCGAGTGTAGAATCACCGATTTTTACGGGAGCAGGTACGACATGGACGTTTGACATAATTTTCGTCTTGTCCATGTTCATTTTAAGACCTACTCCTTGTGAGACTCTACTGAGGTCTTCGAGCATTTTGCTAAGGTCTTCCAGGGTCTCAGCCATGACCACGATATCGTCGGCAAATCGAAGGTGATTGATGTACTCGCCGTTAATGTTGATGCCCAGCCCGCTCCAGTCCAGAAGCTTGAAGACATCTTCCAACGCAGCGGTAAACAGCTTTGGCGATATAACATCGCCTTGTCTGACACCTCGCTACAATTGGATAGGCTTCGAATTCTGGTCGTGGAGGCGAACTGACATAGTGGCGTTTTCATACAAACATTTCAACGCTTCGATATATCGATAGTCAATTTGGCACCGCTGGAGAGACTGTAGCACAGCCCACGTCTCGATCGAATCAAAGGCTTTTTCATAGTCCACAAACGCCAAGCAAAGTGGCAGGTTGTATTCTTCGGTCTTCTGAATTACCTGCCGCAGCGTATGAATGTGGTCTATGGTACTGAAGCCTTTTCGAAACCCAGCTTGTTCGGGAGGCTGGAAGTCGTCAAACCTGCGCGCGAGACGATTCGTGATGACTCTCGAAAACAACTTATAAACATGGCTCAGCAGTGTTATGGGTCTGAAATTCTTCAGAAGCGATTTGTCTCCCTTCTTGAAGAACAGAACCACCACACCCCTTTGCCATGCTTGAGGCGTTTTGCCCTCGAGGATGACGGAGTTGAATAGCTTCTGGAGGATTCGTAGAACAGGTCTACCTCCAGCCCTCAGAAGCTCAGCAGTAACTCCATCATCGCCCGGCGCCTTGTTGTTTTTAAGTTGTTTAAGAGCCATACCAATCTCGTACAGGCTGACGTCCGGGATATCTTCGGTATAGTGTCGGGTTAATTTGGCTCTAGGGTCTTTCGCCGTGTTGTTAACAGGTGCCCGTGTTGTCGTGTATAACTGTCCATAGAACTTCTCAATTTCCCTCAAAAGTTCGGGTTTAGACGAAACGATCCTGCCGTCATCCGTCCTAAGTCGCGTCAGCTGGCTCTGTCCGGCAGCCAGATCCCTGTTAAAGACTTTTGAGCCCTTGTTTCTCTCAATAGCCTCCTTTACACAATTTGTGTTAAAGTGGCGTAAGTCACGAGTCAAGGACTTAGAGATCTGCCTGCTAAGTTGCCGATACTGAGAAGCGTCAGTCGGAGACTGCAGGACCATACTTCGCCTTTCATCCATCAATTTGAGGGTAGAGATAGATATTTTTCCGGTTCTTTCTGCGCGGCGGATTTTGAAGTGCTTAGACCCAGCCGCACGGACAGTTTCCACGAACCTGTTGTTGTAATCGTCCACGTCAACGCAGTCACCAAGGCTTTCGAAACGGTTTTGCAATTCTAGCTGAAAGCTTTCGGGGTTTTGGATCTGTATAGGTGTAGAGCGGAACGTAGATTTCATCAGTCGGGATCGTTCGAGTTTCAGATTCAGATTCAATGTGCCTCTTACAATCCGGTGATCACTTCCAATTTTGACGGCATTGATCACAGAGACATCATTGAAAATCTGTCTTCTCGTTGACAAGATAAAATCTATTTGGTTTTTTGTGGCACCATCGGGACTAATCCACGTCCATTTCCGGTGTTCCGGCTTCCTGAAGAAGGAGTTCATCATAAAGAGGTTCTCCTTCTCCATGAAGTCGGCCAGCATTTGACCTCGGAAGTTCCGATCACCGATACCAAATTGCCCCAATCTCAGCTCATCACCGCTTCGTTTGCCCAATTTTGCGTTAAAGTCCCCCATGATAACGCTATAATGAGTCTTTGTACTATGTATGGCTCTGGAGATATCCTCATACATAGCCTCAACCTCATCGTCGGAGTGCGTCGAAGTTGGAGCGTACACTTGGATGACCTTCAATGAATACCGTTTGGTAATTCTGAGTATCAGGTACGCTACCCTAGTCGACACGCTCTCGACCTTGATAACATTATTCACAAGGGACCTGTGGACGAGGAACCCGACACCGCCTTGGGACAGTTGATCGCCCTCCCGGAAGTAAAGCAGATTGCCCGATTTCAGGACTATCGAGTCCTCCCCTTTCTTCGGACTTCAGATAATCCCATGACATGCCAGTGCAATCTGCTCAACTCTTCCTCCAGTTCAATTAACTTTTCGTCGGTCCGCAGTGTTTGAACGTTGTATGTTGCCAGGGCCAGTGGTCGTCGTTTGTGGTAGCCTGGTCTTACCCGGAGATGCCCCGCCGTTTCCATGACCGCTACCATGATCAAGACTAGCGGGGCCGCCGGGGACTGGGGGCCGGGGCCTTGGGTGTAAATTCATTTGGGGGGATATTGCCATAATCGCCACGCTTGGCATGCGGGTTGGCGATCGCAGTATGATGGTAGGTACTCAGTAGGACGCTGCTGCCCGTCCACTGGTCGATGAATCCCTTAGTCGCCTTTTACGACACCCACGGGAAGAGAGGGCGTGGTGCTATTCTTACAGCGACACCACACGCTTCTATTACATGATGCGCGTTTAAATTCATAATAGATGTCACATTATTTTATAATAGTAGGAACTAATTATTTATTGGTGTCTAATTGAGTGCTCACCAAAACATTTGTGGTTATTATTTTAATACATATTGCATTTTTACCAAGGAAACCGGGACTGACACTCCTAAACAGAGTTTATTGATTAACTTATCTAGGAGGCTGTTTATATAAATTTTATTTAAAACCCTATTACAATAGTAACCTTTCTAAGATCAATAAATTTCATTTCATTCATTCAATCTGAATGTGGGTGGGATGACGGGACGGACTCTTCTGTAACCGCACGGTCTGTGAACATTTACTTTCAAAAGTGTGAGGATGAATTCCCTGTCGATGGCGAGCCGTGTCGTATTAGAGGAAGCGCGTGGAAATTCCAGCAGGCACGTACCCAGGGGAATTAGTGGGCGCCCATAAATTGCGTCGCATAATGCAGTCGCTGCGGATGAATCCCTGGGGCGCGCCGCGGCCCGTGCGTTGGCTACTATCCAACTGACTGGCTAAGTTATAAGCGAAAAGCAACGTTTTTAAATATTAAAAACTTTGCTTTCCGCATCAGCATATACTGAGTAACATACATACGATATTTGATCGTTTTTAGGCTTGAGATGTTGTTGGGTTTTTCCTAATTTAATATATTTTATTATATTATAGTCGTTTATTATTGTAGCCATTGCCTTCAAAAATATTTCCATATCATTTCAACATTTTATTACCTAGATAGTCATATTTGTAATTTTATTGCACAACCAAAAATGTACCAATTTAACTTTTAGATAAAATAAAGGCTAATTGTTAAGATTATTCTATATTTAAGTGAATAGATTTTTTTAATCTGGTAATCGCTGAAAACAATTTTATTTAAATCAGTTTAATGATTAAATAAAACATTGTAGAATTGGCGTCCTTAATGCTAGTATTATTCTTTACCAGTCAACCTTTAGATTTAACAGTAAATATTAACAATAAAAAGATAGGATATACACTTACAACTTACATTTTTATAAGCTTCTTTTTAATTAATTTTAATTATGGACCAAATAAAACGACAGATTATTCTAAAACTTAGGACAACTACTTGTGGCTTATTTACAGGAGCATTCAGTGTTTAAAAAATTGATTTCATTTAAATTAATCGCTTATTGCTCATGACATAGAGTTGTAAATTTTAACAAAGTGTGTGAGTGACCGTAAATAGTTGCCATGTGTAGTCTTCTATACATTATCACTATAATATTTGCGATGAGTTTGTTACAATCCGACGATGGGATTTCATTTTGTTTTATCGCGGAAGTATGGACGGTTGAGTGGCAGTGGGATTTATTTTAATGTTATAATTATATCGTATATAGAAGTGCAAGTTTGTATATTTATAATATAACATTATAGTTTGTATAATAAAAAAAAAG